AGTTTCTCCAATTTAGAATTAAATAGTTATTATATTTAAATGCCCTCTAATCATTTAATTCAACAAGACCTCGCCTATTCGACTCCTATTCCTTAAAGATCGCACACGGTTCCGTCCGAGGTAAGTGAGATCGCTATCTCAGACCTAAAAGGAAACCAACGAACGGTATTTCCGCAAACTGGAGTAAAATCGACTTTCCAGTTGTTCCCGTTTTGTAGAAACAAATAAACCGTTCGGTTCACAGAGTCAGAGCTTTAAATTCTGATCTGTGAGTTATTCACCTTGCAGTTACGGTCCGACCGCCTTTCTCCAGGTAAAACATAACAAAACCAATTTTTAATTTTGTAAAATAAACTTACAATATTTTTTATTTGTTACAAGTCATTTTGCATTTAATATAATAGTGTACGTGTAAACGTACATATATTGTCATTTACGTGTGGAAAGTACAGTCAAGTGAAACAAAAATTGTTTTATCTGCTATTCTTTTACAATATTTTGTTTATACATTCAATCCAATTTACTCTCTATATTTTTGGTAGCGATGGTATTGTTGGAACCACATTAATATGAATTAAATTATACTATATCATTACAAATGATGCGATTATCTTATTGAGGATTCCATTTTTATCTTATTCATGCCCGCCAGAGTGTAGTGCTTTCAGTTGATATTGCAACATTCTATTAACCTACAGAGATTAGCTATTATTTTATATTGATACTCATGTTATTTATATTGTTACGTCCCGATCAGACTCCACCATTCTTTTTTTTTTTGAATAAAATATAACGTTAAATATCAGACCTAGTAAACGCGGGACCAACAAAAACTTTTAAAGAATATTATAACGCCAGAGCTGTTTTTCTCAAGAGACACCACGAGCTCGAGCCTTCTCACAAAAAATAGCAAGGGGGATAGATATTTCAAAATACCTTGGCCGCTCAGCGTGCCTATCGTCGCCAAAAAAATTGTAAAAATCTAAACTTTGCGGTAGCTGGAGTCTTTAGTTGACTCTAGACGTTTAGAGTAAGAGATAAAAAGAAAAACTGGCACCAGCTAGCCATATTCTTGAATTCCACCTACGAGAACCCTAGCTAATAGATAGGGTTTTACCGAGTAACGATCGGGCAATGACCGCAGTCGCACGCCGAGAAGGCGCGACACCTGATACGGCGCACGTATTCAGTAGGTCTGGGAAACCAAGATGCATTAGTCGCACTCTCCACGCGACTCCAAGGGCACGCGACAGTCGTAAACTGTCAAATTTATTAGATCAGTGACCCAAGGCCTTGGAAACTTATATACCGATTCTCAACTCTCCAATCCGAAAGCCGGGAATCGGGGCAAGCACCTCTATAGACCATCCATCGTATGGTCTAAAGACTACGCCCACCCAGATCTTAAGACACTGAGATGCATCCCACCTATGCTAATTAACACCAACTGGGTTATGCCATCTCAAAAACCTACCCCCATTGTATATAAACCCGAAACGACGCTACTCCTTATTCATTAGGGCCCCTTTCTTCCTACCCCCATTTCAAGTAACCTAATTTCCTAAACCTAATCCTATTAGCTAAAAATGACGCCATCCTCCCCCGCATTAAAAATCTTCTTGCAAGACTAATTCCTATTCGATCCCCGCCTCAAAAACCTAAGATTTTCCAAATGGATCCACCCCAAGAAAAGGGTAAAAACCCATATTCTGGTGGCTCCAGACACAGTTTTTCACACAGTTTTTTTGCTCAGTTTCTTGAACAGTTTTTCGAGTAGTTTGGGCCGCGAATTAAAAAGGTAAAACTAGTCGCGAGTAGTGTCACCAATCGATACTTTGCCGTGACCAAGTGGTGTATCTCAAAAGGAGGGTCCATCGCCTGTACAACACTATCTCGCAGCAGGGTGCCCACACATTTACCAAAAAGGGGTCCGACGCCTATACAGCACCATCCCTCAGCAGGGCGCCCACTTAGAATGATCCGAAATCCGAACCTACTCAGCACTAATCCGAGGCTACTCTGCAACGAGTAAGTCAGTTCATTCCTCTTTATTTTATTATTTCCTCTGTCCTCTCTCTGGAAAAATGAAACACACACACACACACACACACACACACACACACACACACACACACACACACACACACACACACAACACTATTGTAGGAAAAACACAGAAATTATAAATACACACATGCGATTAAGAGTTAAGTTTTTGGTATCAAATTAATATCCAATTAAATTAAAATGTTAAGCCATTAGCAAATTAAAATTTCGTTCTTATTCATTTAATCACACCTCCTCGTTCGTCACCCCCTCACCCCTCCCCTCTCAAATTGTGCACGAAGGTTCCGTCCCGGGTAAAAGGGATTCAGTTCCCAAAAGGGAACCAGCGAGCGGTTGACCTGTCGACAAAGTAAAAACGACTCTTCCAGTCGCTGACCTGTCGCTAGTCCTAAACGCTACCGCTCGGCTCGTGCGGTCAGGCCCGCTTATATTGATCGCCGAGTCCAACAAAAAATAAACTTCTATCAGGACGTAACAATAATATTCAAAATTTTTATTTAATGGTGTTTGTTTGTAGCAATTATTCTAAACAATTTGATAACCACCAGTTGACCACCATGATTCATCTCCTATTCCTTAAAGATCGCACACGGTTCCGTCCCAGGTAAGTGAGATCGCTATCTCAGACCTAAAAGGGAACCAACGAACGGAACAACCACCATGAATCATCAGTGACCATCATGATAATCATCAGTTCACCACATTCACATCAATCACCACTAGGGTACAACTGAAAAGACAAACATTGGTCATAGATGACCACCATACAATCAATGTATTAATTAAAAATTAAAAAATTAAAAAAAAGATGAACAAGAAAAAACATCCGGGCGCAAATGATTAAACCATGAGTCAAACCCAGGTCTTCCGTATTTATCGAATGAATATTCTTACCTACTCAGGTCCAACATTCCGATATCTTTATTTGCTAAAATGAACGCTATATAAACAGCGAAATTTTAAAATCGAAGTAAATAATGATTTTCTAAGATTCTCAATGTTTACTGATCCTATATATCAGCGCTCGGAATTAGTTGCACATTTCGGGCCGATTCCCGA